TTTTGGGCATTTGGGCTGCTTCCATGTTTTTCCAATTGTAAATAAAGCAGCAATAAACATGGGGGTACAGGTATCTTTTTCAATCAGTATTTTTGTGTTGGAGAACAATTTTTTAAAAAGAAATAATATTCGATTTATAATTAAAAACTTTGAGGTGCCCCAAAGTATAAGACTTTACCTGGGTCTCATAAGTATACGTGGATTAATGATATTTTGAAATGAAGCATTCATAGATATTTCTTACGTTTATAAGTGATAGACTTTATAGTTTATCATCCAACTTTAGATTTTGATTTACACAGATTAACATATAAGATCCCTGTATTTCTAGAGAACACTGAGAGACTACTAGCCTTCTCAGAACTTTTATTCCTAACAGTGTTAAGAAATGATCTCTTTGGCAATTCTGTTTATTGTCCTTAGCCAATGCCTGAGTATTGAAAAAAATCACACTTTTCTCTAAAACCATGAGCGACATTTGGAATATCATTTTTCCAAATATTTTGAGTCAGATACATAATACGAATGTTTTGGTGTATTGTCACTTCACTGCCTTTTACTTACTTTGTTCTTGTTTATATGGATTATGAACGTGGGCTTATTCTACTTACAAAATTACCTTAATTTAATTTCTCTGTCCATTACATTAAGGTCATAGCCATATGTCAAGCTTCCAAAGTAGATATAATTTAAAAACTCAGAAGTGTTATAATTAAGACGAACTATTATCCAACCTATGAGTTTTGGCTCCAGCTTAAAACCACCAAGTTTTTATTTTTGTTTTTAAACCTTACTGCAGTTCCGCTAAGGCCCACCCTTCCCTGGCAGGTGTCCCTGTCAGGTTTATTGCAGGGACCCCTGATTTCTCTGTGTACCTTTCCCTTGGTTTATGACCCTGTTTTGTCTCTCACTCATCTGCAGAGCCTGGCGTTTGCACGGTATTCGGAGATCCCCACTACAACACTTTTGACGGACGGACATTTAACTTTCAGGGGACGTGTCAGTACGTTTTGACAAAAGACTGCTCCTCCCCTGCCTCGCCCTTTCAGGTGCTGGTGAAGAACGATGCCCGCAGGACCCGCTCCTTCTCCTGGACCAAATCTGTGGACCTGGTGTTGGGCACCAACACCATCAGCCTCCAGCAGCACCTGACTGTGCGCTGGAACGGCTCGCGCATCGCACTGCCCTGCCAGGCACCACACTTCCACATCGACCTGGATGGCTACCTCTTGAAAGTGACAACCAAAGCAGGTGGGCTTCCAGAGTGCGGGACTTCTCAGTCCCTTTTGCTGTCCCCTCTACCTCACCAACCCCCACAGCAGCGGCACCTGAACCATCTGTGTATTCATTTCCTTCTGCTCTGGAGACAGAGAGGTAATTCAGCTGAGCTGGTTGCCTCATCCCCACTCACCTGGGCTTTGAAGGGTGGTCTCCAAGATAACGAAGAATAGCTGGTGAAATTTACACACTCCTGAGAGAATCACAGTCCGGTTCCAGTCACACCAGTCTTGCCAGCTGTGGATATCTGTCCTCACTGTGATCTCCAAATAACTGCTTTCTCCTGTTTTGCTGCTATTTTAGAGCAATGATGTCAGAGTGTAATGGTCAATGGTGCTCCCAGTTCAGCCAGTGGTGTGCTTTTCCACAGCTGTGAGAGTGTTTCCTTGTCAGATCTGTCCAAGAAGTGGGGAAGCCTTAAAATAAACTTCAATGTGTATGTGTGTGTTTGTGTGTGTGTATGTGTAGGTGGGGGAGCTTGGGGGTCTTGAGATCCTGGGAGTGTGATGACTGACCCTGTGACCAATACTCCTATCTGTTCTTGACCCTGGAGAACGATGGTCACTGATGGATAGCTGGGACCATTGACTCCTGAACAGGACACAGGATATTTGCCCCCCAAATATTCCCCCAGTGTTAAGCATCAGGAGCTGACTGCTGAAGCCTTTCCTCTTGTTACCCAAGGTGCTTTCCCCTCCATCCCCCCAGATTAATTTTTACTCATTGGGCCAATACATTCCCCCTAACTGTGATGCAAACTATGGTCACAAGCAGGTTACTTCTAGGGATTCGATGAGGCTCAAATTCTTGCATGTGAGGTGAAAGCGAAGAGAGGCATCTTAAAAGCAGAGCTCAATTCTTTAATATCAGCCCTAAGGAATGAATTTAATTTGTAATAGTATGTATGATTCCTTCCATGCTAACTTCAGTTAACATATGTTGTTGGTCAGTTGGATGGTGGGCTGTATGTACTTCTGGTATATGCTTTTTTCTTCAAATTAAGCATGATGTTGAAGATATAGGTATACTTCTTGATCTTTGCATTGATGAAAAGTTAATAGTGTAATAGTATGAACTGGGTTCCAGATCAGATTCTTTAGATAAAATAAGTCTAAAAGGGAAACACTTGATAGAGCAATCACTTTTGAGGAACTATGGAGAATGCTGCCTGCATACCTGAGAATGCCAGCTTAGCCAAACAAAGGCAGGAAGCCAAAGTGAAATCCAGGGAGATTTTTAGAATGTAACATGGTTTTGGAATTAATGTATTTGGAACATTCTCTAAAGGGGGAAAGATTCTCATCTTCATATTGAAAGTAGCAGATGTGAGAAGCTCTATTCATTCAATTTTCAAGAGAGAAATCCAGCTCAGAAAATTCAGACACTTGTTGTTATAGCCAAACATGGCACTCTGTAGATGAAGGCCTCAGCTCATTCTAAAGGAGGCGCTGGTGTGTGGTGCCCTGTAAAGTGTGTTCAAGATGACCCACTAACGGCACTAATTAGAAGCACCTTGTCTGTTTGCAAGCCAGCTGAACACAATGCAATCTTCTGATATGGAAATTATTAGTCAGCCACAACCTGCTTCTCAAAGGGATCCTGTTACTTGAAGATTTCTAGCAGTCTATGAGGTTTGATACTGTTCCACTCACAGCTGGCAATACCTTATGGAATAAGTGTTATAACTCTTTGTTAAGATTCCACATTGTAAAAGTGAGCAGAGGATGAAGCTGCTAAGAAAATAATAATAGATCGTAACTATGATAATTAGGTTAGTAAATTTAACTCTTACAGCGCTTGAATTCAATCTTGCCATCTTTTATTTTTCCATCTTTCTTAGCACAATGTAAGAAATTAACATGTGCCCTTAGTACCCAGCTAAACACTTTTTTTTTTAAAGATTTACTTATTTATGCATACAGAACTGGGGTACAGGCCAGAGATGTGGAGGGTGAGAGGATTCACCAGAGACAGAGCCGGGAGCAGAATAGGCAGATCAGAGCAGAACAGGCAGATCGATGAAGTACACTGCTGAGGGGAGCAGCGGGTGGGTCAGGAGGGATCTGCCATGCCATGTGGTCACCTCTGGGGTGAGCGGGGATTGAACTCATGCGGAAGTGGCCTAAGCCTTTCGGTGCTGTGCTTTAACCCGCTGCGCCACCAGGGAGGGCCCCCAGCTGAACACTTTCCTGTAACATTCAGAACACAAGCTTTTTGCTTCCTTAGGAAGAAATAATATTCCTTTGGGCACTAAGTTTGCAGTGAGATTATCTTTTGAATTGGAACAATTCCATTTCTAGGCAATAGCATTTTCCACTCTGGTCTGCACTCTCAGTGTGTACTCTCCCTTAGGAATATTTCCTTCTATCACCTATTGGTTGTCTATTTAAAATATTGCAATCTATCCTTGGAGTGTTCTTCTTCCACAGATTTTACTTTAAATTTCACAAACTCATATGATCCAAGGGTACTTTCTTCAAAACAGCAGCTTAGAACAAGGAGGATGGGAAATGGGGAGGGTGACCCTTTGCCTCTGTGGTTTCTGGACTTGGTACCTAATGATGGCGTCATCTGAGTGAGGAGCACAGTTAGCACACCACTTGGGAGGACTAGACTGTAGTGCTGACCTTCTAATAACCTGGGCAGCAGGGAGCATGCAGAGCCAGCCATAGGAGTCAGAGAAAGCACTACCTTTCCTCCTGTCATACCCTGGTCTCAATTCCCAACACTTAGAAAATAATTTAAAAATATTTCTGCCTCCATTTGTTCACTTCATCAACTCTACCTGAACGTGCTATGTTAAATCCACCTGAAAGCATTACCATGTACGAGCATGGCCATTTACTGTACTTTCTGTAGAGCTGGAAACTTGATGACCATGGAGAATGGATCTTTTCCCCCCTTTGGTATAAAATCTGAACAGAAAATCATCCATTTTAAGTGTCACTGTGACCTGCCTGGAGGTTATGCACCTCTTCTCCCTTTGAAGTGAACAACAGCGAAAGCAGTAAGAACAACCGAGAAAATAAAACAAAGCAGAACAAACAAAGCAACCACAAAACCCCGCCCCCACCACCCTAAAAGCCCCCCACACTAGTAGTCTGGAGCCAGGTCACACATTGAAGGGTGAAGAACAAGTTGGTAAAACATTCACTGGTGAGGAGAGAAAATTGGAAGGCTCTTCATCCAGTGGAAGGAATGTGGTTGCTGCTCACATTCCCAGATGGGGCATGTGCTTCGGCTTTTGCCTCTACCTCTGCCAGTTATTTCTACCCAATTTCCCATGCAGAGAACTGGAAACTCATCCCAGCTGCAGAAAGGACTAGCTCCTGTCCCCAAACACTTCCACGATGTTTTCGTCTCATAAGATGCCTATTTAAAATATCTTTGGAAGAGCAATTTCTTCATTTACATTAGTCTTTTTGCCTGTCACTACTGTAATTTGCTTTGCATGGATTTTACTTCTGTAGAGCTTACAACAAATCAGGCCCACACATATGCGTATGCTACAGCAACAGACAAAGGCATGTGTCATTAAAGGCATGTGTCATTAAATAGGGAATCTCTCCTCAACGCAAATCCCAGCATGGATCCGTGAAAACTCTCTTCATGTGATAACATCAAAGACAAAAGGAGAATGAATTAAAAATTGTTCTTTTACTTTAGGGAGCTGGTTTTATGAAGTAGATGTCAAGAATTTTGAGAAAAAGTTACTAAAAAGCAGAGTGAGCCTGCTTCCTCCCAGGCATTCTCGAGTGTGGGCCACCAGTCCAAAGAATGTCATGATTGGCTTATTCACTGTGAGTTGAATTCACACCAACTTGGTTGCCCCAAATCTCCAGTTTATTATATTGTTGTCAATAATGCAATGGGAGTGCCTTTGGATGTACATTTTCAAGCCTCGTGGCACTTGGAAGAATAGTATTTGCCTGCTGTCTAGGAAAGAGATTTGTAGTTTGGAAAATTTTGCAACATGGAAACTCTTTGGAATTATGCTCTAAGAGTTAGAGTGTTGTATGGAATTGATTTTCTCCCCTCATTTCTCTTGCAGGGCAGCTGCCTGGCTACAGTCTTGTGAGGTCAGGTTTCTCCTATACCTTAGAGAGTATATTACAAATCATATTATAGCTTGCTTGTCTTTTCTCAAAATTGTTATTTCAGTGCCTTAACTAGCATGAAATTTGCAATTTCTTTGCCTTTGCAGATTTGATGTATTAATTTACAGAGTAATTCATTCATTTAGTGAATACATGCTATGTGCTGGATAATGTGTTAGGTGAAGGAATACAAAGAGAGAGAAATAATTTCATCTGGTATCTGCGGTTGTGACAGTTAATATCATCTTTAAGAAACCCAGTGTGGGGGAATTTTAGCCCTGTGACATTTTCCTGAGCACTTGGTCCCTTTGTTGTCTTTTCTTTGTCACATTATTCCTAAGAAACATTGTTCTTACAGCCTTACTTCTTGCTGTTTTACCCAGCTCTATTTAATTGCTTTCTGAACCCAGTTTCTTCTCCCTACCAAGAAATCTCTGATTCCTTAGGCTAAGGATACTGCCATTTATTTAATTAATCAAACAGTGATTTCCTTATAGGATATTTTTGAGATACCCAGGTTTAGATCACTAATTTATCTACCAATAGCTACATCTAAAGCAGATCTGTAACTTTCCCCCCACTTTCTGTTTTTAGTGCAGTAATTGCATTGTAACATTAGATAAGTTTCAGGAGTGCATCATTGAAAATTGACAGATGTATATGTTATATATTGAGTTCACCACTGGAAGATATTTCTTGTGGCTGCTATTTGGCCTACTCAAGGAATGCTATCTGGCCAGTCTTTCTCCTTTTGGTCCAAGTCCAAATTTCAGGAATATTGAGTTTAGCATCTTACTTCTGGGTATTTCTAACTGACTAACATCAATCTGATGTCTACTTATGTGAAAATTATATCCAGACAAGATTTGTTCCTTGCCTTCCCTCCTTTCTCTCTCTTTTTTTTTTCCTTATTATCACCTTATGTCTCAATTTCTGAGCATATTCTATCGTTATTCTAATCTTGATACTTCAGGAGCAAAGATAGACCCTTTTAAAAATTGCCTTTTTTTAAAAATTTATTTATTCATACAGAACTGGGGTACAGGCCAGAGATGCGGAGGGTGAGAGGATTCACCAGAGACAGAACGGGGAGCAGAATAGGCAGATAAACAAAGTACACTGCTGAGGGGAGCAACCGGCGTGTCAGGAGAGGTCTGCCTTGCCATGTGGCTCTCCTCCAGGGCAGGCGGGGATCGAACTCATGCGAAAATGGCCTTAGCTTCATAGTGCTGTGCTTTAACTCTTTGCGCCACCAGGGAGGGCCCAAATTGCCTTATTTTTTATTGAGATCAAGTTGATTTACCACACTATGTGTTAGTGAATGTTGGTTCAAACTCATTGGATGTATATTCCCTCACAATGCCCACTGCTAGCATAATCCTCCACCATTTTCACTGGACCCCTTACCTCTTGGCTCTGCACACCTGCTCTCCCCTTCTGGTAGCCTCAATTCTGCAGTCAGTTATCTGGGGTTTGTTTGCTTTATTTTTGCCTGTTCCTCTTTTTTTTATATATACTGTAATTATAAGTGAAATCATCCAGATTTCTTCATCTGACATATTTTGGCCAGCCTAGTCCCCTCAAGTTCCTTCCATGTTGTTGAGCAGGGCAGGATTTTATCTTTTTTGCTGTTGTTTGCTTTTTAAATAGGTGACTAGTAGTCCCCTTGTAGACATACCATGCATTCTTTATATGTTCACCTGCCACTGGGCATTTAGGTTGTTTTCCTACTTTAGCTATTGTGAATAGTGCTGCAATGAACATAAGGTTGGTGTTTTTTGTATTCTTTGGAGAGATATTTAGGAATCAGTCATATGGTAGATCTATTTTTAGTATTTTGAGAACCCTCCATACTGTTTTCCAGGGGTTGGGCTGGAAACCAACAGTGTAGGGAAGCTTCCTATCAATGTGCTTTAAACCCTTTTGGTTTAATTCTTCATTCAAGACTGTGGTATTCTTTTTGATTTTCTGTCTGGTTAATCTGTCCTTTAATGTACACGGGGCACTGCATTCTACTACTGTTAGGTTTCAGTCATTGTCTGCTTTTAAGTTTGTTAATTGTTGATTTTTTTTTTATTCTCCATTTGGTGCATATATATCATTGAATGTTATGTTTTCCTAATGTATTGATCTCTTATTCATGCCATGTTCATCCCTGGAAGTTTACTTTATCAAATATAAGTATGGCAGTCCTTGCCTTTTCTTAGGGTACCATTTGGAAAGGCAAACTCTTTTAGAAGAAGAATCATTTATTCTTCTCAAATGTGTAGGGCAGGAAATGAAAGTAAGCTTTGTCAGAAAAAGAAAAGAGTAAGATTAAAAACTACATGAGTGAGTTTATTTTTTTCTGTTAAAAAGTTTTTTCTCTGTGGATTGTCACAAAGAAACAAGAGCTAGTGATAGTGAGTATAGAGCATTTTCAGTGCAGGAACACACACTCTCCTGTTCTGGACATTCTCTTGATTGTTCATGCCATGAAAGTAGTACTTAGTTCATCCATTCTCTGTGGGGCTCAGACTCAGTGGCCTATGAGGAGAACAATGAGAAAAACTTCTAGCACAGACTGCAGATGTAAAGAAAATCTGACTAAAAGAGTTTGTCGTTTCCTTTGGGTTGAAACTGAAAAGGATTTTCATGAAGATCTCATCTTTCTCTTATGGGTAGTGTTTTCACAACATCAGGATGGGTATGAAAACATTCTTCCTGTACCTTCTAGACAAACTGATTTGTTCTGTGACGGCCTGGTTGTCCTACCTGGTTATTCTACCATGTAGTGGGGTTCTTAGCTAGAATGACTTCTGAAATCCTTCAGCCAGCATGTCTAGAGATCAACGGAAGTTCTCTGACAACCCTCCGATGTTCTAGATTTTTTTTCCCCAAAGACTTATTTACTTATGCTTACAGAACTGGGGTATAGGCCAGAGGTGTGGGTGAGAGGGTTCACAAGAGCAGAACAGGCCAACTGACAAAGTACACTGATGAGGGGAGCAGTGGGTGGGGCAGGAGAGGCCTGCCGCACCATGTGGGTCAGCAGCCTGGCTAGGGATTGAACTCATGCTGCAGTGGCTTCTGAGAGCTTCATAGTGCAGTGCTTTAACCTGTTGTGCCACCAGGGAGAGTTCTGTAGATTTTTTTTAAAGTAAAACAAAAGGGGCTTATTTTCTCTACCTTCTGGAATTAAGATTATTTCTCGGGTTAAAAAAAGACATCACTGTCTAGATGATTTTGGACACAGGACATGAGCTAACTTTACTTTAGCTTATGACCTGGTAGCTTCCAATGCTTCCTCAAGTGTTGAAGCTTGTGATGAGCTCAGGGAAGGAAGGCCCCGTCTAGGGCAATGCAGGTTGGAAGGTTTTACAATAACTCAGCCCTAGGAAGTGTTGAATAACCAGTTGTCCATGCCTCAGGAATGACTGTAAAATAATGAGGAAGCAAAGTTTTCATTTCTATCATTACTGTCCTTTGAAGAAAATGTATTCAACAGCACTCTAACAAAAAAAACATTTCCTTTTTGTATTTAGTATAATCATGTGTGTGTGTGGGGGGGGGGGAGAGATAAAAGAAAAGTTATATTAACAATCTCATTTTTTGTTATCTTTCCATTTCCACATTGTAGTAGTCACTGGATAAATGAAAACATGATTTAGAACAATGAAATTGGTCAAGAAAAGTACAAAATAGAAACCCTATAACAACATAGTCAATGAATAGTCATTGTTAAACAGGGCACAGAAGATATCACCGTAAATGAAAACTTATATGGTTTAAAAAATCTAAACCCCACCACATAAGGGATTTTTGTAATTTTGCACATTATTTAATATGTAGAGAGTAAAGTGTAACTGAGAGAGGGTTTGGACAGAGTCTCAGTATTCCTTGTTAGGGCATAGTCATATCTACTGTGTTAGAATGTATACAGTTGAGAATTATTTGTGGATTCAAGAGTAGTTGATCTCCTTTTCCTTTCCCTTTCCTCTAGGTCTGGAAATATCTTGGGATGGAGACAGTTTTGTGGAAGTTATGGCTGCCCCGCATCTCAAGGGCAAGCTCTGTGGTCTTTGTGGCAACTATAATGGACATAAGCGTGATGACTTAATCGGTGGAGATGGAAATTTTAAATTTGATGTGGATGACTTTGCTGAGTCTTGGAGGGTGGAGTCCAATGAGTTCTGCAACAGACCCCTGAGAAAACCTGTGCCGGAACTGTGTCAAGGGACAGTGAAGGTCAAACTCCGGGCCCATCGAGAATGCCAGAAACTCAAATCCTGGGAGTTTCAGACCTGCCACTCCACTGTGGACTATGCCACTTTCTACCGGTAAGTAGAGTGTTCCGGGGATGGGTTTGGGTTACAAACCAAGAATTCACCAAGAAACAGAAAATATCAAATTTCTTGGAGGTCAAAACAAGGGTCTCCCTTAAGCACAAGATAATTACTCTTCTTTCTGTTTGGCAACTGATTTTGAGTTAGTCTCACATTATGTTCCAAACTAGGACATTATAGGTAACATTTCAGAGTGATCAATAAGGATTTCTCTTGTTGTATGCTGACAGGTTTATTGGGAAGTTAAGTGACACCCTAGGATTTTACCAGGTACATTTTGATACTAAGATTGAAGTGTACTTCCCAAATTTTGTCTAAACCACAGTGGCATACTGCAGAGGTGGGAATCTCAAATCACTCTGGCTGCACTTGAGTGTTTGAGTGAGCTCATTTATTTTAGGTCTGAGCAAGAGTTCAGTTCCACCTCATCCTTTAGTCCAAAAGAAATCTGCACGCGGAAAACATGGAAGTAAAGTGAGGATTTCTTTGGATCTTGGTCAACCGTGAGACTCTGTGTCCAGAGTCAGCAGAGAGGCTGAGAATGGAGGGGAAGGTCTGGCATTAAGAATATGGATTCCATAATCCTTGCTAACTCTGATTAACCCCCTTCCGCATAAGCAACTGGCTACAAAGGAAGCCAGGCTTTAACTTCCGTGCTGCAGCCTGCATCTGTGAGTTGATGAGTTTGGCCTGGTTTTACTTCCATTTACTACACAATTCCATGGGTTCAATTGCTATGACTGTCTATAACTTTAACCACTGTGGGTGTGGGAGGAAACATGAGACGAACATAGTCCAAAAGGCCTTGTTTAAGTGATTTGCCTGTGCCTCTTAAAATGAGAAAGCTCCTGTGGTCTGAAGCCACAGAGAAGTTATTTTTACTCTTTAATTGCCAACAGTTTATTTCCCCTAGTTCTCATTAAATGTGATATTTTTTTATTTGATCTTTGGACATAAAAGATAAAGTTCTATAAAGGCAGCTCAAAATGGGATGGAAAAAGGACTGTCCTTGTCATCACAAATCCCTGAACATGTATGCATTTGCCAAACCATTTGGCTCCAAATCATGTTTCGCTCTTTTAAGCCATTTCCCTGTTATAATTTGAATTCTCTCCGATCCCTTCTTTTCCTCCCTGTACCATCCCCCCCTTTGACCTGACCCTTGTCTATTGACACTGAAGGATCTTAATTTAAGACTTTTGAGTGAGTCAAACAGCTGGACAGACAAACCACTTTCATCAGGAATTTAAATGCTCATCCCTTGAAGGTCTGATGGGAAGCAGTAGAGCACAGCCATTAAGAACTCCATGACCTTCCAGGGCTACAAATCCAGCCCAGCTGTACAACTTTGACAATCAGCTCAGCATTTTAAACCACAGTTTGCTTATTTGTGAAGTGTGTGCAATACAAGAAACTACCCTCAAGTGTTGTCCATCGGAGTCAGTGAGATTGTGGAGCTAAATCCATGAGCTCAGTCCGGTGCCCTCATGTGGTCTATGCACTGTAATTCATGGCTGCTGCCACTTCTTCTGCTGTTACTATTAGTAAATATATGGTATTCTTCAGAAGCTCCCTTCACACAATTGCAGATAGGATTGGACCCGTCTTTGCCTAAAATAGAATGGAAAGACTGTGCTTTTTTTTCCAGCACCCCAGCAGTCTACACCTCTGTTTTTCATTCCATGTCAGAGGAATGTGTTGAAAACAAAAACTGGAGAGCAGACTTGCACAGATTAGTCCCATTTTTCAAATATCTTTTGCTTTTGCTTTTGGTGATTTATTTTGTATTATGATCCCTGGAATGCAGCAGGAATATGATGAGTGGCTTGGCAGAAGTCGTGAGAAATGACTTTGACATGAATCGAGACTCGAAACTGTTAGGTGGCCAGGAAGATGCTCCCCTCCTTTGCTTGGAAATTGCTCCAGCAACTCCAGCAACACAGTGAGATGGCTTATTGTGCAAGGGGCTGGCTATGCAGAGTTTGGGGAACTTCGGAGACACTTGAGATATTGGCGTGCTGCGGTTCGGAGGACAGGATGTTGTGTGGGTGGCTCTGTATCCTCCCTGTCTGTGTGTGGTTAGTGGAGGGTAGGGTGCCCTTGCACACCATCCTCTCCTTCCTAGGAGAAGCAGCGCTGCTCAGGAGGGCAGAGCAGCACAATCCTGTTAGTGGCTAACCCTGCTGCTGATCCCAACTCCAAGCAAGAGGTGTGCTTTCAAGCAAGGTGGCCAGTGTTGGCTGGGTCCTGGGTTTCTTGCTCACTCGTGAACACATGTGTGGCAAAAGAAAGGAAATAAACCAAGTCAACATGGAGAGGCCATTTTGTTCGATGGGGATCTTCAATGAAAACAAAATCTCAGGGCTTCCTGGGAGTCTTAGGGAAGCAAGGGACAGAGAGTGTGCAGGATGGTGCCAGGCTGCACCTAATGTCCACTCTGCCACTTTCTAGCTGAGCAGCCCTGTGTCTGGCTGAGCTGCAGCTTCTTCACCTCTAGAGTGGGTATGAGAATAGCTGCCTGGCGAGACTGACTCTACCTTCGGCCTGAGGTCAGTGGGCACGGCTGTGTTTGCCCATGGCAGCTGGAAGTGCTGGCCTTACGTGGCATGCCATGTGTCCCTTCCTTTCCACCAACAGTCTTGCCTCCAGCTCAGCCACTCATCTCTCTGCTTGCTGACCTCTTCTCTGGCTCTCATCGTGAAGAATTGAGTACACTGATTCTCACTGATGAAAATCTGGAACATTTTCAACATGAACTGTTTCCCTTTTGTGACACTGAGTGAGATAGTGTAATGAGGGCAGCCTTGCAATCCTTTAAAAAATAGCTTTTATATTATAAGAATACTATCTGTTCATTGGATGATATTTAAAAGGTTAAAAAGAACAAAGAAGAAAATGTCAATTATATAATATTCTACACATGTAAAATTTATACACACACACATATAAAAGATTTATTTATGTATACACGCAAGAACTGGGGTACAGGCCAGAGCACAGGGGCAGTAAGAGGATTCACCAGAGACAGAGTGGGGAGCAGAACAAGCCGACTGATGAAGTACACTGCTGAGGGGAGCAGCGGGTGGGTCAGGAGAGGTCTGCCGTGCCATGTGGTGCAGGCGGGGATTGAACTCATGCTGAAGTGGCTTTAGTCTTAGTGCTGTGCTTTAACCTACTGTGCCACCAGGGAGGGCCTACCCTGTATATTTTATATCATTGTTGGAATTTTAAAATGGATTCTAACACAATGAGGACCAGTGTTTGACTTTTTTTAAAATGTCAGGACTAAGGAGATTTGCCTTTACATCACTGAAGGTCATATATGCTTCATATGCACAGCTTGCATGTGGCTTTGATTTCTTTCACTTTCTCTCACCCTCCAAATAAATATCCTATCCATATTTTCCTTTAAGGACAAAGTATAAAAAGTTCATATAACACACATATGCAACCTTCTAAGTGATCTGAGGATCACTATGTGTCTAACATAGAGATGGGAAAGAGCAAAGAAGATTTGTCTCTGAAAGAATGTTTTCTCTTTTGGGTTTCCTTAATCATATGACCAAGTCCACAGGGCAGTCTATCTAAATGTGAGATAGCCTTTCCTGTCATCAGAGTTATACTTCTAATTTTCCTGAGTTACAAAGTTAAAAATTTTTGGATATCTTTCATATTTATAATTTTTATTTTATTTTGGTCTTTTACCCAATCTAAAAATTTGAAAACTTTGTTAATGAATAGAATTGATAGCATATTCACCAGGTCATTTTTTTTCTTTTTTTTTCTGTGGGTAACTTTAATCTTGCTAAGTTTTTCTTCACAAATCAGTGAAATCATTATGGCCTCATTTGATATAAAAATATAATATTTGATGAGAATTTTTATAATCAGAATAACTTGCCTTCATTAACCAATCAAATATGTTTAGGTTCAAAATCATTTAACTATGATTCTAGTAATGTTTTAGCAGGCAGCCTTGATAGCATGTCTTAAACCCTAGAGTTGCTAATTATCTTTAAGTGAGATAATCTCAGTTAATAATTTTATCATCTTCTTCAACTACACATTATGGAGAAACGTCCAATGGCTAGACTCTATGGGAAAATTAATGTGCAACCATTTGGATTATGTTTACATCCAATGTAGGCTCTCTAGAGGGAAAGTATTTGTATTTGTGTCTCTTTTCTTGTTTCTTATTTCCACCTCCTGCAGTTCCAGTGGTGTCTTAAATGCCACTAAGAAATACAAGAGAGAGGTTGTTGCATTGGGCAACACCACACGCACGAAGAAACGGGAGTGATGGAGCAGGCTACCTAATGCAGGATGCTGCTAACAGCAAGATCCTGGCCTTTTTATTGAAACAGTTATTAGTCAAAAGGGGAAGTTAAAGTGAAAAGGGAAAAGTAGAAGAAAGAGGGAGGGTGGTTCTGTATTTCTCATCTTGATATTTGGATCCAGCCCTGATTCCCTAGTTAGGATTTCAATCCTATCAATAAGGTGTTCCGCTGATCAGCTTTTGGGGTCCTTTGTTAAGCATCAGTCAACGTTCCGCCCTACCCCCCCCCCCCAGCGTTCCCGGTCATACCTTGTGATGTATAAATCAGAATTAAGTTTAAGCATCTGTCCTTAGTCCCCCTTCCCCCCACTGGGTGTTCCCCGTCACACCTCGTGATGCACACCCTTCCCAGAGTGATCCAGCTTTATGCTCTTAATTTATATGAAAATCACCATGTAGGATTGGGCTCTTGTGACTGGGCAGTTCTTATCTTGCTTTATTAAAATGGAGGCTGGATAGGCCCGTTAGGTTTAGCAGACCCACAATGGGTCTTACCAGAAAGCCTCCAGAGTCCCAGGAGTCCATGTCACATCTGCTTCCCACTGCTGATCTGGGCCATATTGACAAACAGAGCAGCCCGGGCAGCCTGGAGCACACGAGGGCCGTGAGAGGGGCAAGAGAAGACCTCAAATGTCTCGGGCCTTGAAACACCAGCAAT